ATTAATACCATGAAAGAGGAAGTTGTTGTAACTCATGCATACAATGCCCAATCTGCCCCAAACTTCACACGCTTTATAGAAGTCCTAGCCTGAACACATCTAAAGGCCAATATTCAGTTATAATTATAGCGCCACCTGCTGGCAACAGGAAGTGACTTGTTTCACACTAACTTAAACATGCAATATCTAATCTGCCCTAAACTTCACATGTTTGATAAGAGTCTTGGCCTTATCACATCTTAAGGCCAATATTCATTTATAGTCATAGCGCCACCTGCTGGCCACAGGAAATGGCTTGTTTAACACTAACGTAAGCATGTAATGTCTGATCTGACCCAAACTTCACATGTTGGATAAGAGTCCTGGCCTGAACACGTCTCAAGGCCAATATTCAGTTATAGTCATAGCGCCACCTGCTGGCAACAGGCAACGCTATCAATACAATGAAACAGCAAGTTGCTGTACCTCAAGCATGCAATGTCAAATCTGCCCCAAACTTAATATGTTTAATAAGAGTCCTGGCCTGAAGACATCTACATTCTCTTATAATCATAGCACCACCTACTGGCAACAGGAAGTGACATGTTTAACACTGTGATGGACTATAAGCAACACATTAAAATAAGCCATTGAGTGCTAAACATGCTAGAAACATGCTCAAACATACTAGCAACACTTACTAAGTGCTAAAGCATGCTAGTAATACCATGAAACTGGAAGTTGTTGTAACTCATGCATACAATGTCCGTCTTCCCCAAACTTCACATGTTTGATAAGAGTCCTGGCCTGAAAACATTTAGATGCCAATATTCAGTTATAATCATAGCACCACCTGCTGGCAACAGGAAATGACTTGTTTTACACTAACTTAAACATGCAATATCCGTTCACAAACATCACATGTTTGGTAAGAATACTGGCCTGAAGACATCTGCACATCAATGTTCACTTATAATCATAGTGCCACCTGTTGGTCTGATTCTTCGTCATCAGTTAGGAACCTAGGTGTGCTATTTGATAATCTTTCGTTAGAAAGCCACGTTTCTAGCATTTGTAAAACTGCATTTTTCCATCTCAAAAATATATCTAAATTACGACCTATTCTCTCAATGTCAAATGCAGAAATGTTAATC